GGCTGAATTCAAACCTCAGTTTTATCATTTAAACAACTCTCCTTAGTAAGGAGTGAGTGTATCCCTTCATTTTTCAGTCGCGACGAAATATGCGATTAACAGACATAATTGCCGGAAGTAATATATGTTCTTCGGCTTCAGTTTTCATATGAAACCATATATTCAACTATCGTATGCCTGTATCTATAGTTTACATTCATTTTATTGAGTCCTATTGAGTCATCATTTCTCACCTTCCCGATTGTTGCGCTCGCTGGGCCCACCCGCTCGACGAGCTTGTCAACGCCAATAAACATATCTGTACTCCTGCACGAGGCTCTCACTTCCCAAAGTGTCCTAGGCAGGTATCGCGAAAGATAATGCTGCGAAGTGTCCTTCGCCACACCAGTCTTTGATATCTAAGTGTATCCGAATTGTTTTCATGCTCCATTCTGCATTGATTCCTATCCGATTAGACCTGGATGCTTAAGATATCGTCGAGAATTTATGGGTATAACGAAACGGAAGTTCATCGCGCATCTCGTGCAGAGCATCGCGATATACCGACAGGCAGATACACTGTGTCGAAGAGTGGTGGCTTTCACCCGGAGCCGATAAAAGTTTAGCCTCTGACCGTCTCATCCATCTTGAGGGCAACATATACGGGCTCCAGCCATGCATACATGCCAGGGAGAACAAGTAGCGTCTTGATCCAAACACCTCAATCAAAATTACAAAAATTTCCCGCCAGAAAATCGGGAGTTGAAATCAGAGGAGCGGTTAAGCAACTCTCGTCTTTGAGCGTGGTTGATCTTTGTTGGGCCACGAATATCCTTCTCTTTATCGAATGGACGGGCACTAGGGTCATCCTCCTCCTCTCCCTTCGAGGGCCGAGCTTGATGTTGCGCGTAGAGTGTCTTACTCCGCTTCTTCTCCTGCATGAAGCCGTTAGCTAGTTGATATTTACCCCCAGTTCAGACTGCTCATTCACTAGACTTACATTGTATTCTCGTACCCGTTTTGCCATCGCATCGTCATGCTCGGAGCTTTGTACTGTCGGCACGGCTGTGGAATTCGCCGGGGCTTGTATGCCCATAACCTCAGCCTCTAACCGTTTTCGCTTGTCCTCAGCCGTCTCAGTCCAAGTGCCTATGCCAGACGAAGTTTTCGGTGCCGCACTCCTGCCCGTATTGAATTTCCGATTGCGGATCTTTGTTGGATCGACACGCGACGACCAGTCTCCATGTTCTGGGGGGGTGAAGCATCCAATCATCTCTTTGAGTAGACTTTGGTTTCTCCTCTGCTGATTCATTCTGGCCTTTCTCCTCGATATCTGCTTTCACAGTCACATCTGTATCTCCTGGGGGCAACGACGGTCCGTAACCATCGTCGCTCTCGCTATCACTGCTGTCGCTGTCCTCAACTTCTCCGAGATTGGGGGGCAATGTTGGCCCAATGACCTTTTGCCTTTTGCTCCGTTCACTCTTGCCATTTGATTGAGGCTCGCTATCGGTATGCGAAGCATTATCTACGTCCTGGACTTCGTCGCGCTTGCGCTTATCGCCTGGCGAGGGAGGACGCTGAGGGCCTGACTGTGTCATATTCGGTTCCTTTGTTGTCTATCTGGAGTTATTGAGCCGAATATAAAAATTAGTTCATGGCTGAGTATCGAGATCAAGCTCCAAGTCTTTGGTCCTACATTGTTCCTTGAAGCTTCGGTGGAGTTGTGGCGGAATATCATTGTTCCGGTCACCAACAGAATGGTGCAACTGGAGAGTATGGCTATCCCGCCAGCAAACGACAGGCGTGCTTCATATTTCTTTTTTGACCTATTGGCTCATATCATTTCAACTATGCAGGGCGACAGACTTGCCTCACTTATCTATGCCTGCTGTCGTCAACTAAAATGTGTCTGATACTCATCTACCTATCCATCCTTGAATCATCTTGGGCTAACTCCATGATTCCCAATAATACTGGTAGGAAGAGGTCGGGTTTAGCGGAAATGGCCTGAATGTAATTGGTTTTCATTAATTAATAAATGAAGTTCAAGAAACACCTCAAACAAATCTCTTTCCAGGAATCCAGTTCCTTCAAAAGGGCTTGGGCTGGATGCAAAAAATGAGGCAGATGCATTCATCCTCTGTTTCGAAAACCGCACCAAGCCACTCGCCAAAGCGTCTATTTATTTGTACTCGGATGTCTAATTGGAATGGGATGAAATGCTGGACATTTTAGAATGATAAGGCTTGACCAGACTCACACTTCCCTCTATCGGTCATATATTTAGCGTTAGCAACGCTTGGAGATCACATTATCGAAATTTGAGTTGCAGCGAAAGCTATGAAAACTTTCACATAAGGTGGAAGGAGGATCTGGAACAGAGAAGAAATATCGACATTGGCAATCCACCTCCATCCCCCGGAGCAGAGTCCCTGGATCCGGATATCTAGTACCCTATCTTCAGACATCGCGCATTCTGGATACTACAGTAAATGCGTGCAGCAAAGATCTAGAAAAAAAAAAAAAAAAAACAGAAAAAGGAGGTTGCAGCGCGGCAATCGCCAAAAATAACCTGATGCAGATCATCGCGGCTGCGCAAACATTCCTCGTTCTCCAGGATCTCACTGACGGTGTCGGGTCAATCATCCGTTGACGTACCCATCTACAAGACTGTCTGACGCCTCCTATCCCTTTTCGCTCTCTCAACAGTTATATGGACCCAATCCGTCGATGCCATCTCATTCGTGGAAAGCTAACATCTAAACGCGAGACGGACAAAGGATAACCTCCATTGGGTCACGACCTTCTCAATGAGCTTCTTCCAGATGTCATTGAACTCATGGACACACACATTCCACGACTGCAAGTTTGCGCTCTGCCATTAGTCAGAATTATGGGAGTGAGTATGAGATGCTGATGCCATGGACAAAGGAGATGTTGATTAATAGGGGTATGGAGCAAGGTAAGGAGTGCTTATGAGGAATTGTGAAATAACCGGATTTAACCATCTCTCAGCTCAGAGTTGAAACGGAAGCTGTGAGAGGCTACATCCTTCACTTTTATTATTTGACTCAAAAATGCTTCTTCCTCTTCCTTCTAGGAAGGAGTTTGATGCCCAGTGTATATTTCATATTTCAAATCGAATACTTCATGTGCATTAGGCCTTTTATCAATCTTGGATGAAAGTGCCTTATTCCATGAATATTTAACTTGATTCTGCTCTACATATCCAAATTATGATAACCAAGCAATAAAGCCAGTACCTGCTACAATTCAGAAGGTATGTTTCTATATATAATAAGGACAACACCATCAGTGTAACCGAAAATGGAAAATGCAGGGACTTTATTAAATTACTCCAGCAACGCCCGGAGCCAGCCCAGACCCGTTCGACAACACTTGTATCCAATCCACCTCATCGAAGATCAACAGTAGACCCCATGATACCCAGCGATTCATTGGAAGAGCTAGTGGACATGGGACTCCTGGGTAGCCACAGCATCAGCTGGAGTATCATTTCCACAGCCTCAGAAGTAACGTACTAACCGAGAACCCGATTCCTGAGAAGAATCTGGCTTATCGGGTACCTGCTTCTATAATTGCAGAGAGGATATACCTCGCCTCAATGTAAATAATTAAAGCACCTGTAATATCAGCTCCTTAAGTGGGCGCTTCGAACCGACCGTCTTTGAAGAATAGAACAAAACACCCCTCTAAGAACGATTGGTATTCAATTATCATCGATCTCCATCGGCTCAGCGTCAAACGGTGAATCCAGATCAAGGGGGTCGGGCAAAGGGAGCATTGCAGATGTCGAGGATGCCAGTAAATCCAATGACGAGCCACTCCACAGGATACTCATCCCTAGAGCCCCATGTCCCTTCTCCCTAATAATCTCCTTCGCCATATCCTTTGCCTGCTCTTTCTCCGTTCTCGCAGACTCGGCCTTCGCATGTGCCGGCTCCGTAGCCTCGACAACAGCCATGGGCACACCATCCTGCGGTTTCGGCACGCTCAACGACGACGGCGGCCGGTACAGCACGAGCGCATTATTGGCGGAAGGAATGGTGTGACTACTGTCGCTACTAGCCCCTAGGACGGACTTGGGGACACATATGAGACTCTTCTCGATATCGCGGAGGAATGGCGTGTCGTTCTTTTCTTGTGTTTCGATCTCTGCGATTTCGCGGTCCAGATCGTGGATGTAGACTCTGTGTTTTGTTTCGTCTATTTGCATGAACTCGTCCACGGGCGCGGTAGCAGAAGCAACGGGTATCGGGTATTGTGGTTGGAGCACAGGGGGGGATGTGGAAGGGGAATCATTTTGATTATTCAACGGAGTACGAGGGATGGGAGGTGGAATAGAAATAGATGGAGCTATAAGAACAAAATAATAATAACAAAGGGCAAGGGAAGCAGAATGTTAGTTTATTCCAGTAAATTGAGACTGTCCAATGCAGCTAATCAATTGAATCATTAAAAACAACTCAGAACATACCGATGTGCATCAATCCAAACTTTTTCGCTAGGCGTCGTTGCTCTCCCTCGAGCTCTTCACCGGCAGGTCTCTTTTTGCCACGGCCTTGGTGGCCCAGCGACACCGCACTCGCCGACGCCATTCCCTGCCAGCCGTTTGTTGTTTGACGGAAAAGGTACTCGTGTGCCCAGGGACGAGACAGCACTGTCAGGAAGGCATAGCTCGCCCACTTTATTGTCTAGCCCCGTTCGTCTCCCCCGTTCTTCTCGTTTGGATGGGAATAGGAGGAGAAAGAGTCGTGCGAGGCGTGGTGCTGCGCCGGGGATTGATATTGAGTTCGCGCGTGGGAGCTGGTGATTGTGCTGGTATTGGTATTGGTATTGGTGTTGCTGGCGGTGTTTCTGGAGGCTTCTTCACCCGCTTCTTCACCCGCCGCCGTTTCCCCTCCCCCGATATCGTCCACCCCTCGACATCCACGCCCGCCATCGCCACTCCTACCGCCCGTTTCCACCACCACCGTCTAGCACACTCGGCTTTCAAGATGGCTTCGGCGCAGACTGTCGAGCAGCCAGAGTGGCCGGCTCTGCGCGTGCGGAATGCCTTTCTAGACTTTTTCAAGGAAAATGGCCATACCTTTGGTAAGTGGGGTGGTTTCCCCCCTCGTCCTGCTTTTTTTTCTGGTTCTGGCTTTTTAAATATATTCGGGTAACATGTACATATATATATTTGCATATTTGCATATTTCCTAACTCCATGAAAACCGTATACAGTGCCCTCCTCTTCCGTTGTACCCCTCTCAGACCCAACTCTACTATTCACAAATGCGGGAATGAACCAGTACAAGTCCATTTTCCTGGGCACTGTTGATCCAAACTCGGATTTTGCGACCCTGAGACGTGCGCATAACTCGCAGAAGGTGTGTGGCGTGCCTTTTTCCGCTTTATTGAGACTTATAGTAGATACAGAATGCTGACATGTGGAAACAGTGTATACGTGCTGGTGGAAAACATAATGTATGTGCATGTTTGCGCAAGGATTGTGCCTACTGATTTTATACTGATAAATTTTTTTCTTTTCAGGATCTTGATGATGTTGGGAAGGACAGTTATCACCATGTGAGTTTATTCTTGATAGTGAACACCGGTCTACTGGGCGTGGCGATTCTGACTTATTTTGTTGTTTCTAGACCTTCTTTGAGATGCTGGGTAACTGGAGTTTTGGAGACTATTTCAAGAAGGAAGCTATCAGATATTCGTGGGATCTTCTCACTAAAGTTTACGGCCTTAACCCTGCCCGGTTATACGTGACCTACTTCGAGGGAAATCCCGATGCGGGCATCGGCCCTGATTTGGAGGCTAAAGAATTATGGTTGTCCGTGGGCGTTGCAGAGGATCACCTCCTCTCTGGGAATATGAAGGATAATTTTTGGGAGATGGGAGAGCAAGGGCCATGCGGTCCCTGCAGCGAAATCCATTACGATCGAATCGGAGGCCGCAATGCTTCCCATCTCGTGAACCAGGATGACCCGAATGTGCTGGAAATCTGGAATAACGTCTTCATCCAATACAATCGCGAGCCTGACAAATCCCTGCGCCCCTTACCTAACAAACACGTCGACACCGGGATGGGTTATGAGCGCCTCGTTTCAATCCTCCAAAACAAATCGTCAAACTATGACACAGATGTCTTTACCCCGCTTTTCGGAAAGATCAGTGAGATTACGGGTTGCCGTCCATATACCGGGAAATTCCATGATGAAGACACCGATGGAATTGATACTGCATACCGCGTTGTTGCTGACCATGTTAGAACTCTCACGTTTGCTATTTCCGATGGCGCTTCTCCAAATAATGAAGGTCGGGGCTATGTAGTTCGACGAGTTCTCCGGAGAGGTGCTCGATATGCGCGCAAATATTTAAATGTTGAAATTGGCGGATTCTTTTCGAAAATTGTCCCTACCCTGGTCGATCAGATGGGCGATATGTTCCCTGAAATCAGACGGAAACAGACAGATGTAATGGAAATTTTGGATGAGGAGGAAATCTCCTTCGCCAAGACACTCGACCGTGGGGAACGCCTCTTTGAGGAATATGCCCTGCAGGCTAAGCAAAAGGGGTTTGGTAAACTACACGGGGCAGATGTATGGCGGCTTTACGATACTTTTGGTTTCCCTGTGGATTTGACGCGGCTGATGGCTGAGGAGCGAGGTCTAACTATTGATAATGCTGAATTCGAAGAAGCTCGGTTAAAAGCAAAGGAGGCAAGCAAGGGCCAAGGGAAACGAACTGCAGATGTAGTGAAGTTGACTGTTCATGATCTTGGCCTCCTCGAGACCATGGAAGATGTCCCCAAAACGAATGAGGATGCGAAGTTTGGGAGGGGCAACATCACATCGCAAATTAAGGCGATATATTATAACAAGAATTTTGTCGATTCAACCAAACATATCCCACAGGGAGAGCAATTTGGTATTATCCTCGACCGCACCAACTTCTACGCAGAGCAAGGAGGTCAGGAGAATGATACTGGAAAGATCATTATCGATGGCAAGGCGGAGCTTGCTGTGGAAGATGTCCAGGTATACGGAGGATACATACTTCACACAGGGTTCATGAAATACGGCTCCTTCAATGTCAATGACTCCGTCATTGCTGAATACGACGAACTCCGAAGATGGCCCATCCCGAAACAACACACAGGTACTCACATTCTCATTTCGCCCTCCGTCAGGTTCTCGGCGATGGTATCGAGCACAATGGCTCCCTTGTCGCTGCTGAGAAGCTACGCTTTGACTTCTCTCACAAGTCTGCTGTCTCAGACTCTGACCTTGAAAAAATCGAACGGATATCCACCGACTATATCCGTCAAAACTGCGCAGTGTATGCCAAGGACGTTCCTCTCGCCACCGCCCGGGGAATATCTGGCGTCCGCGCCGTCTTCGGCGAAACCTATCCAGACCCCGTCCGCGTCGTCTCCGTCGGTGTCGAACTCGAAGAGATCCTCCAAAATGTCCATGATCCACGCTGGAAGGACATCAGTATCGAATTCTGCGGCGGCACCCATGTCCAGAAGACGGGCGATATCAAAGATCTTGTCATCCTTGAAGAGAGCGGGATTGCGAAGGGAATCCGACGCATAATTGCCGTTACAGGTGAAGAGGCACACGAGGTCCAACGCATCGCGAAAGAATTTGGTGAGCGCCTACGGCGCTTTGAAAAAATGGAGCTTGGCCCACAAAAGGAGATTGAGGCCAAGTTGCTGCAGGTAGATCTAAATCAGCTATCGATATCTGCGGTTGAAAAAGCGCGGTTCCGGGAGCAGTTTGCGCAGATCCACAAGAAGGTGCTTGAGGGCCAGAAGGCGGCGCAAAAGCTGGAGTCGAAAAAAGCGCTTGATGCCATCACAGGATATTTCGAGGCACCTGAGAATAAAGTTGCGCCGCATCTTGTGATGCAATTGCCAATCTCGGCGAATCCCAAAGCTTTGAGCGATTCTTTGAATTTCGTCAAGACCAAGATGCAAGACAAATCTGTTTATGTGTTTGCGGCGGATAAGGAGGCAGGCAAGGTTGTGCATGGCTGCCATGTTGCTCAGGTACGTTTTCATGTTTTTTTCTTAATTAACCAATTTTTTTTTGTTCACGGTCAACGACGCAATCAGCGAATGAGCTAATGCTAACTGAACTTGATTTTTTTTCCCTAATAGGCTTTAAGTGAGCAAGGAGCAACGCCTAATGACTGGGCTAATACTGTGTCGAGCATTGTTGGTGGGCGTGCGGGAGGTAAAGCGCCCATCTCCATTGGAAATGGAACGGAGGCCGAAAAGCTAGATGAAGCTATTAAGGCTGCGACGGAGTATTTGGAGAAATTTCTTTGATTTTGTTTCTCCTTTGTTCTTTTTTTTCTCGTGTTGGATCAGTGATAGACCATTTCGTTGTCTCTCTCTCCTTTCTTTTATCTATGTTTTAATTTTTCTTGCCTTTTTATTTTCTTTCTGCAACGGAGTTTGAATTCATCAATACCTCTCACATATTTAGTCTCGCCTAACTTTAACTATCACTTCATTCAACTCAGGCATATTTCAAGGTCAACGTCCAACAATATTGGACATGTTATTATTCTCACTCCATCTTCCGGTTCATGCCCACTAGTGTTTTATGTCCAATAGCTGGGTAAACATATTTTGGCACATAGCATGCGAAAACGGTGATGCAGGGTCAACTTTTTGTGATATCCACACCTCCACAAGTTCCATTTTATTGAAGGTGATTGAACATGCAGTTATCTCCTTTTGTCCTTTTTCTCTTTTCTCTATTTCTTTTTTTTTCTTCGCCTTTTGCAGCTATCTAAGTAGGCGTCCTACTCGTTCCTCTGTACAACTTTTTCTTTCTCAGTGACCATTGATTGGAGAGTCATTGTCTTAGGACAGAATGGGCTGGATTCGGCGTCTGTTGTAAACCCTCATATTTATGTTGTCATTCATTTCATCTCATCGAATTATTATTGATATTCCATTTCGTGAACGGTCCATTACATCTCCCCACACTGCGCAATGACTACATCTTGATTTGGCTTGTCTCTCGTCGTCCGTGTGTTCTCAATCATGCGCACAATGTCCATGCCATCAAGAACCTGGCCGAAAACGACATGCTTGCTGTTCAGAAATGGTGTGGCGGTTGTTGTGATGAAGAATTGGCAGCCATTGGTGTTTGGACCGGAGTTCTATGTTAAAAGAAAAAGGGGCCGGCGAAAGTTAGCTTGCGATACATATATATAGATATATTATCTGATGGGGACAAGAAGAGCGGAGGAGCACGTAACTTGGACTTACAGCCATGCTCAGAAGACCCGGGCGGTCATGGGTGAGATTGAAGTTTTCGTCAGGAAACTTGCCAGTGCCATATATGGTTGCGCTGCCAGTGCCATTGCCGTTTATAAAATCGCCACCCTGAATCATAAAGTCTTTGATCTGCAAAGCCCATCAGTTAGACTAGTTAGCTAGCGAAGCCGGGTTGGTTTGGGTCTTCACGACCGCATATTGAATCAGGAACCGAGGAGACTCTGTGGCAAGATAGGAAATTCTGAAAATTCAAAGAAAGCATTCAAAGTATGCAGCAGACCGAAGTGCCAGCCCTGAAGAAAATCAACCCGTGAAGGAACCTGAGGGGATCCATACCACTCGATGAAATTTGGAGCCCTTGTACCCCTGCGGTCGGCCGCGGGGATTTTTGCTCTCGCCGGTACAGAATTGGCGGAAGTTCTCTGCTGTCTTGGGTGTGACATCTGCGAAGAGCTCCATTTTGATTCGACCAAGCGGTTCTCCTAGAGGAAATAGTTAGCACGGATATTTCTTCGTCTCTATATTTATTTTCTACAACGACACAGTGGTGGCATAGTGCTGGTCCAATAGCGATAGAGGAGTTGCACACAGGAAAGTGGCAAGCAGAAAACAGAACGGCAATTTACAAGCTACTTCAGATCGAGCGTCCCAATAATATGTTGAGGCGTGGCATGCCCATTGAACTGAAGTCGGGACGAGGCTTTTTGGATCTCGAAACAGAAGCCTGTCAGCCTTGCAGCACCCCAACAGCTCTCTCCTCTTCTCCCTTCTTCGTTTTCATATTGCATGTACATAACTAATGCCCCAAGGTTTTCACAAATATCATAACATTTTGCTGATGCGCGAGGCTATCCATACACATACCTCCAAGTGTGATATCGAAGAACACCACAGGGTTCGTAGGGCTGCGGGGGTTCAGGGCGGTCATTGTTCGTGATCTGATAGTTATAAACCCCACACGTCGTATGGCTTTGCCTGCAGCAATAGTTGACCCAAGGGTTTCGTTTCTGAGAGCCGACAAGTGATGGCAGTGCACCAGAGTGGCGGAGGTTGAAGTTAGGGCTATGTGCGTTAGTTATGGGACAAGCCGCCTCGGCAAAATTCTTCGGGAGTGGCGGTAACCACCCTTTGACATCGCAAACGATGGAGGGGTGTCCGAATAATTTGGACTCGATAATATTGATATCAAGGAGTAAAATTTATGTTATGTAATGTACTACTACAACTACCTATAGCGGATTCCTCTTCGGTAAGAAACGATAAGACCTTGGAGACTCCCCAAAGTGGCCAGAATTTGTCTCTCGGCCCTCAAATATAAAGGCTTGCATGCCTATCTGGGTTGAATGCCTCGCCTAGAAATACTGCCCACAGTATCATTCATATCCTAAATAACATACATCCATCACAAAAAGTTGTGTACTTTATAGCTCATCAAGTTCCCCCCATTTTTTCTTCGGGTGCCAATAGGTAGTTGAGAACACTGAGTTTTCGAGATTAGAGAGATCAGCAAACATATTTCAGATGTCATTGACATACGCAATATTTACGACGTCGGATGAATTCGAAAGTAGGAGGTGCAGATGGAAACCTCCAATTGGGCGATGCAAAATGGATTGAGTGAGGAGTCGGAGGATAAAGCCAAAGACGCACTTATATTATCAATCACCTTCACATCGCTGGCGGTGTTTTTTGTATCCGCTCGTCTTTACACACGGGGATTTTTGGTGAAAAAGATCGGTTCTGACGATTGGACGTGCTTAGTGTCTTTGGTATGCTAGGGAATCAATCCTTGTGAACAACACAGTTTGCTGACCAGGGCAACCAGATTCTCTCCCTGGGATTCATGGGATTGTTCATTGGCGGTAAGTAATTGAAACCCCTTGGAATGAACTCATGTTTGATTAGCCCCTAGCGAAAGGGGTTTCAAATACAGGAAGGAAACACTCACGATCAGCAGAATGGAAATCCGGACTTGGTGGTAATAGGAGTGAAATCACATTTGAAACGTTCAGACAACAGGTGATCGTAAGTTCTCAGAGGTGGTAACGTTGTGCGTCTTACTTGAAAGAGCTAACAGGTTTGATTATGCAGCTCCTTTGGGCATCCATCCCTATCTATAACGCTAGCCTCTTTTGCACCAAAGCATCCATCACCTTACAGTACCACCGAATATTCCCAGGGAGTCGGATACGTATAGCCTGCTCTGGTGCTCTATTTTTCTTAATAATATACGGCTTGTGGGTGGTTGTAGGGTCATTTCTCACATGCGTTCCAGTAAGAAGATTCTGGGATGACACGGTAGAAGGTAACTGCTTGAATAGGGATGCATTCTGGCTATCCACGGCGATCGTGCACATCGTTACAGATGTCGTCCTGCTTGCGATGCCCATGCCGATTCTCATCAGGCTAAATATTCCTAAAAGGCAGAGAATCGCTCTCGTGCTAGTTTTCGCTCTAGGAGGATTGTATATTCCCCTTCAATCGGTTTCCAACAATCCCCACCAAATTATGTTCCTTGCTCAGAAAGTTAATTCAGTTCTCGTTATCAGTGTTTGCATCACAAGTGGTCTTCGTCTTGAGAGCCTTCGTCAACTTGCGAGATCAGATGACCTAGTAGGTACGTATGATTTTCCTACTGCTGGCGCCATTCCGCATGTTTCCCCAAGCTAATTCAAATAACATTCAGAACATAATGCGGCAGCGGCCTCCTGGTCAGCTGTTGAATGTAATGTCGCAATAATATGTTGTTCTCTTCCGACCTTACGGCCGCTGGTAACTCGTATATTCCCACTCATATTTCCAAAGACCGGCTATGGTTATGGTCGCAACTCTAAAAAAATCCCTTGTCTACCAAGGTGGTTTGCGTCTCACGAGTCTCAAGAAAGAATCGACCAGGAATATGCCATGGAGTTTTACAGAAACTGTTCAGCGATGAAGGAGGAAAGCATTCACGCAGGGATATGGGTGGGGTTGCGGCAACCGAATCGATTTCGCAGGAAGCAAAATCTGCAAGTGATATAGAGGCAGATCGCCCGGCTGAGCCATTTGTTCGCTCGATTCATCGGGAAAAAAGCTGGTTTTAGCATATCCCAGCATGTAGAAGCGATTTTAATTTATGACTCATGCACTGGTGGTGGCGCTCTAGATAGAGGATGCAGGGCCACAGGAATGACTGGATAACCAACACAGTGCTCAGCCTGTGACAAGTCAGGGGCTTCGGAAGCAGAAGCAATATATTCTCGCATGCCACAACCCATATGGATGATCTTGGGTTAACGTATTTCATCATGAACTCGCCAGTATTTAGCATAGGGAGTGACAAATCAAACAAGAGTAAGGTAATTTTCCATATGCCTCACTTTAGCAGTGTCTGTAGAGATATGAACATTTCTTATGACGTTTAGCCATCTCCTCGTTTCTCAGGACAGTCCCCGCATAAAATGTGTGCCCAAGCGCGTCGCAGCACCAAATGTCGGGTGTTGTGCCAACAAGGTTCGTCAAAACCGATACAACGTATGGAGGGAAGCGCGGTTGTCGTCCACAAAGCAAAACTTAAGCGGTCAATGTTAGCGGTAAACATCCCGACTAGCTAGGGCTAAAGAGGTTAGGTTCACATGAACACGCAGATGCAGTGTTACTTTGTTTTTGAGAAGCTGTTGCGGTGAAGGGTGGATGTGAATTTCAGAGCACACTTCAATAACAAGAAAGAATGAGAGAGTATTGAATGACATGGCATCTGTGGCAATGGACGGAGTACCATTGTGAGATATCATACTCTTCAACATCATTGATCCGGTCTCCACGACGAAAAAGGGTGTTCATGGCCGTTCACAGCGTTCCCTGTATTGGGTTTTTACCGCCCACAGAACCATAATTTAGTAGAATCCAGAATAAAGGACACAGAAATTTCGAGGCTGGTAAAGTAATAGTAGCAGAAATTGTATATCATATATGTCATGATGCGTGAAATATCTCCTTCCAGGTCCCTTGTTTGTTGTGAGCAGTCGGTGGTGGCGTTGATATTGGCCCTGATAAAAGGCCAGGGCCCTCTTGGTAGCCCAATCAGGACTAGCGCCTGGGTGCCTTTCTATCCTCAACATTGCCTCGCTGTCCGCCGGTCTTGTTGCTCTCTCCATCGTCTTCCATTGTCCATTCCCCCCGTCCCACGTCGAAGCCATCTCCATCACTCACACAAGGGCCATGGCCTTTGTCAGGCCGCCATTAGATTTTCCGTTCCTATGAGCTACGATTCGTCGCAATAGCCGCTGCAGCTCTAGCAGCTGAATGCGGTTTTGCAGCTATTTACGGAATTTCTTTCCATTTTATCTCATCACGTCCGGTCCCCTCGACATTTGCCACTATTAATTACTGGTTGCTCAGCATTTCATCTTAGCGTTTTGTCTTTTCCGTGAACAGCAGTTGGTATAGGATTTCATATCACATTGGCAGAAACAACGAACGACCTCGGTCCTCTCCAGAGCCTCACCGCATCCGCGGCACATACCCGAATCCTCTGACCCTTTCGATCATCAGACCCGGATCTACATTTCCAACTCGCTAACATTGTGTGAATAAAGGGCTCCAGGGTGCAATGTGGCCCCCCAACAACCCCTCATCGCCTATATTTCGACATCTCGAACCACTCATTGTTGACGGCGACATGGAACATCTTTATGGTGATGGGGATATGAAATGTTTTGATCCTTCTGTGTTGCAGGCATCAACGCCACATGAAGAAGACGGTTTCGATGATCTTTTTTTGCGGCCTTCCACGGCGACTCAACCATCCAACTCAACCTCGTGCCTGTCCCCAGGAAGGTTGATGAAAGCAGGACATCAACGCTCCTCAGCAAAATTTCCCGAAACCCAGTCACCATTATCCGATACCCGTTCCGATTCTCCTGAAGATTTTACCCATAGCTCTTCCGCTGATTCACCTCTCTCACATTTGCGGAACGGCTCTCTGACGTCTAACACTTCTGCTGTTTTTAGCCAGAGTAGCAGAGCAGGGGATCGGTTTTCTACCCCAGCATGGCCGAGCTTGGTCGACTTCACCGTGGGAGACTCGCCTTTGTTTGGGCAAACCAATGACATGCCACCATTTAATGGCGACTACCCATTGGATACCGACCTAGAAACGAGCAACAAGGCTATGAGTTCCGCATTCGATTTTGATAGTGCCGCTAGCAGCCCAAGCCCTCTCAAAGTGGAGATTGCCCCAGAAACCAATCACAAATCTCAGCAACCAAAAAACATGTTGCGGGGCCCATCAAATACAATAAATCAAGTCATAGAATCTAAATCACCGTCGACGGTAAGTTGAGCGATTTCTCCTTCCCTGATATATCCAACGCGCTGTTGACATTTTCCACTCTAGAATTTTCCTACCTCAGCGAGCCCTTTCTACTTCTGTGGATCATCGGATGCATCTAAGCCTTCAGCGTTCCGCAGCAAAAGTCAATCTGGTTCGAACCAGTGGGAGCGTCAGTCGCCAGGTTCAGAACTAGAAGAGACTTTTGGAAGTATCAATATGAACGGCACCGCCTCTCCTCTGAGCTCTACTCTCTCTCCAAGTCTAAATTTCGGAGTTAACCCACTCAACTTCGATCCGATGACACAATCTTCCGTATCCCAACTCCCAACCAATGGTGACACTTCCGCATTCCATCCGAATATGAGTCAGGAGAATTATCGTAAACCCCAGTTGGTAGTTCACCCAACGTCTCTGAAGTCGCGAGTGGAAACTCAAATTCCGATTAAGCTTACTTTGTGCCCTTTGCCTCCTGGTGTCAAAAACCTACGACTCCCAAGTCATGCCATCTCAAAGCCGAAATTCCTCGCCAAACCAGACACTGCCCCCTCACCAGAGATTCTTGAACTTCGTACGAACGTAGTTTGTACCAGTGCTATGCAGGATAAAAAGAAGCTAGAGCGAGCATTTGCGAGAGCGCGAGAGGAAGAACTTGAAGACTCTTCAGTGGAGTCAGACTCTAAGAAAGAGGGTAAAGCCTAAGGAGGAGACGCCATTAGAAGGCGGTGATGTCAAGAT